AGTGATTCTTCGAAAATGTTTAACAAATATTTTAATACATGGTTATTTTCAAGTTGCCACTGTACAATGTAACACCCACTTTTCACTATTTATGTTATGAGCCCCATGTAATAGGGGGTGAGCCTATTGCCATATACCGGACACAATTCCAGACTCCGTGCTACTACTGAGGGTTTTTTAAAACCCAGTAACACTTTGCCCAACACTGGAATTAATTAATTTTGTTGATTGAAACTTGAATTATGATTTTGAAAACTTAAATCTGTTGTAAAGAATGTAATAGAATTATTAAGTCATTGCAAAACTTATCTAGATTTTAAAATATAGACTTTTTGTAGCCTATATGAATATGAATATAAACTATTTTTGTTAGTCTTGGCTTCAAGCAATAGGGAGATTTACGGTATGATTCTTGATGTCTGATAGGGGTAGCTGAAGATTAATATAGGTACTTTTTCTATTACATACGTGGACAAAGCTGCTGACAGAAGCTAGTCTTAATATCATGTTACAAATGTGTAAGTTTGTGTGTATCGTTGTTACCCAACGACGTCAAAACAGCTGAAGGGATCGAGATGAAATTTGGGACTGGGGCAGATGATGCTCTGGACTAACACATAGGCTAATGGGAACGCGGGCAAAACCGCTGGCAGAGGCTAGTATCAAATATAAGTTAAAAAATTTCAAAGAACCACTTCGGTAAACCGATTTTAACTTAACTACATTATAATATTATTTTTTACAAAACCTATACATATTACGATATTACATATTATCCATTTTCTCATAAATATTACATTTATTATATTTTTTTAATTACATATGATTAGAAAAGCTGCCTTATACTATTTTAATGAGACATGGGTATACAGAAACCTGAATTTAAAACTGGAAATGCAACAATACAATTTTTGCGATCAGTAGATGGCAGCACTGTAGAATTAGGTACCATTAGTACAATATTTTTTTTGTGGGATAGGAGCAGACGGATCACCTGATGGGGAGCAATCAGCGTCGCCCATGGACACCCGCAACAGTAGAGGAGTTACAAATCCGTTGCTGACCTTTTGGAGAGTGACCAACCCGACTGGCAAGCGCGGAGATTATTATAAACCCTCTTATGTAGAGGACTCATAATCCAGCAATGACATGGGCCGCTGATCGTATACAGAAACTACAGAGCGCCACCTACAACGATCCTTACATACGTCTTGAGAGAAAATTAATTGAAGAACCTCCTTTTTCGGAAGTCGGTTAAAACGTGAACTGCATGTCTCAAAAAAATTCCTTAGAACCTAAATACATTACTTCTCTTTTTTTCCAAAAAAATGATATCACATAGTATGCAATGGAAGATTTAATTCACAATTTAAAGACAACAGTTAGAGAAACTATACTAAATATATCAAAATCTTCGAAGGGGTAGACAGAGGTGCATATATACAATGTAACACCCACTTTTCACTTTTTTTCATGACATAAGCCGGTAAACGAGCAGACGGATCACCTGATGGTTAGCAATCGGCGTCGCCCATGGACACCTGGAACACCAGAGGCGTTACAGGTGCGTTACCGGCCTTTTGGGGATTAGGAGTTTGAGGATCGTTGGGGATTCAGGAATTGGGGAGATTGGGAAAGGGGAGGGTAATTGGGCCTCCGATAACCTCACTCACAAGACGAAACACAACGTAAGCGTTGCTTCACGTCGGTTTTGGCTTCACGAAGCATGGCTCTTCCACACTTGACTCACTGTTTATGTTACGAGTCCCATGTATGTAATAGGGGGTGAGTCTATTGCCATATACTGGAGACAATATCAAAATCAGGAGCTATTACTGAGAATATCTGATTCTAACTGTCAGACTCGGGAATTTAATGAACCTGATGTTGTGTTAAAAAGAAATTTCACGACACTGAATTACGGACACATTATACATGTTTTGGCTTAGAAAAATTATTCAGAGATTTTTTTTTAAAAATCTTTCTTTATAGCATAAGCCGGTAAACGAGCAGGCGGATCACCTGATGGTAAGCAATCGGCGCCGCCCATGGACACTCGAAACACCAAGGCGTTACAAGTGCGTTACCGGCCTTTTGGGTATTGGGAATTTGAGGATTGTGGAGGATTCGGGGATTCGGGAGACGGGGACTAGGGAGCGGTCGGTTTTCTGTGAGGCCGTGGTATCACTCCGGTTGAGCCGACCCATTCGTGCCGAAGCATGGCTCTCCCACTTATATCTATGAAACAATTTTGACATTTTTAATATAGTTTGATACACTGTTGTCTTCAAAAATCATTTTAGTAACCTACTCGACTTACTCTTTTTAAATTCGATTAAAAAAGCACATTTTAATAATCACATTTGTCGTAAAAGGCACTAATATTAACACGTAGATAACTACATTATAATTACTTAAACTTTCAAGTCGCTGATAAGTGCCTGATAGGTTTATCTGGCTGATAGTAATTAAAAGACATTGTTTCATAGTTCCTGCACGCTAAACTGACAAACATTGACACTAGTCTCAAAACGCCTATAGAAGTCTTTGATAGCCTTAACAGAGGCCTTAGTACGAGTTTCATATACGTTAAAAGTATTCGTAACGAGTACTCGTTCGGCGCTCTGATTGGCCGGCGCCAATGAACCAACCAATCAGAGTACCAAGCACGAATAACTATCGCATTCGTATCGTAACAGTATCGAGTGCGTTCGGCGCTCTGATTGGCCGGCTCAAGTGAACCAACCAATCAGAACGCTTAACTCGCTCGATACTGTTACGATACAAATGCGATAGTTATTCGTGTTTGACACTCTGATTGGTTGGTTTACTGGAGCCGGCCAATCAGAGCGCCGAACGCACTCGATACTATTACGTTACGAATGCGATAGTTATTCGTGCTTGGTACTCAGCAGAACGCCGGACGCGTACTCGTTACAATAACTTTAAACGTAAAACAAAGTCTCCTCCTCTGACAAATGAATTGTAATGTCATTCCCATCTAAATATGTGTCATAATGAGCTAAAAGACGTATGTCGTACTCAGAGACATTGAACTATGTCTTAAACTATTCCTCAGCATCGATTTTGTTCCGAAAACCATTGGGTACTTGACTAATGTCCATTCTAACGTCCGTCTGGTAGATTATTTTAAAACATTACACACGTATTTTTAATTTTCTTACAACATAAAATATACTTTTGACGATATATTGATTTGAAATGTCGCGTGACATCACTTCTATGTACATTTTATACGTAGAAATGACGTTTTAGCTCCCACTACTAAACTTTGATTCGTTTTATCTAAGTATTATAATTATACGACGAAATAAAAAAATACGTGTCTAATATTTTTTCATTACCTAACTGACGGACTGAATGGATTTGTAAATTTCAACACCCGTCATCATTCTTATTGCTAAGGACTGGTTTAAGTAGCCCTTAAAAGACTGAGTACGACTGTTGATTAGACATTCTGCAACACCTAAGGTATTTATTTGACAGTTAGCTTAACAAAAACAGAATCAAAGGTAGAAACAGGGTCTTAAATTATCTGCTAGATATCTTGATGTGAAACTGACAGTTAAAAAAGGCAAGGTCAGTGATTTATAATTTCATATTTTCACTATGGATAATGATAGCCAATAAAATTATTTTTGGTAAGCAATCGGCGCCGCCCATGGACACAAGAGGAGTTACAAGTGCATTGGCGACCCTTACCGGATGATTTAGGGTAGATGTCAGTAGCAAACCAGCTGATAAAAAATATAGTCAAAACTGTCGAAAATTTAAAACTAATATTAGAAATGCGATAATAACGCTCCAATACTGAAAGACTACTCAATTTTAAATTGTACTTAACACCTTGGACGCAAGGTATGGGCCACGATAGCGGAGGATTTACCCTCAGGTAAACATATACAATGTACCACCAACTTTTGACTATTCTATGTTATGAGACAATTTCTAACTATATTAACTAAAAATCGCGGGTTACTCACGTGAATATATTTAGAAAAGCTCTACTAGTTTCGAACCACAGAGAGGTTCTTCCTAGTAGAACTACTAACAGTACTAACAATAGTACTACTAGTAGGCTGCGCGACGTCGCCGCGACCGCGCACGCTGCTCATGAGGAAGAACCCCTCTGTGGTTCGAAACCAGTAGAGCTTTTCTCAATATGTTCACGTGAGTAACCCGCGATTTTAGTTAATTTAGTATGTCTCACCATAGTTATTATAAAAACAATTTGTAACTATGTAAGTATTTACTAAGATTTATTAATATAGAAAATTTTAATTACATGAGAAGTGAATGAGGAGACACAGTGGGGTCAGCAGTCGACTAACGAAGAAGTAAAAATTGAAAATTTAGAATTTTGACAATTTTCGAGTATACTTTTAAAAGCTGAATATACCACTGACATACAAATAAAGATTTTTAAGAAAAAATAAACTGAAAATGGTATTAAAAAAAATCCTTGTCAAATTGTATATCATGGACAAAATAACGCCATATTTGAATCTTACTCACGTAAAATGATCAAGCCAAGATATTTTTGGAAAATATTCTGTCAAAATTATTAATATTTTTGGCAAAACACTGGAACGTTACTGTCAAATTTTACTGTCAAAAACACTGGAGATTTATCTCATACAGTCAGCCAAGTCATTTAATATGCAGGTAAAAAGTAAAGATAGATTCAGTACAGAGACAGTAACCATTGGTTGTGTTCTTTTTTTTTAAGGGGGGAAAATCATCGAATGACTGCTCCCGCCTGGGTGAGGCGGAAGGGAGTGTCAGACTCTTACTGACTAAAAACCACCCCGTTCCTTCTCCTGCACGTCGAGCCGGAGCCCCGGTTACCCGTTAGGTTCTCCGCGACTCCGAATCGGCATCGGCCCTATTGGGCCCCATCTGTGGTGGTCTGATGGCTCTTTGAGGCGCGCGCGGAACCATTGGTTGTCTAGAGCCGACTGAGTTACAAAAGACATGGCTTCGTTACAAAGCGTACAATCTAGTATAACAATAGCTACTGTCTCTGTACTGAATCTATCTTTGTTTTATTATCTGAATACTACATAATATGTTGGCTAACTGTATATTAACACTGAATTTTCTGAATATTACATAATATTTTTTGAAAATGCTATGAGAAGTTATCATATTTTGTACAATTTTTTTTTAACATATTATTATATAAATTTTATCTTTTTATACACAAATCCGTATTACCCTTACAATAATAAAAACGACTGTACTGAATTTGATCATTTCGTAAACTATAAGACTTATTAAAATAAATAATATTTATATTACTACAACACAAGATATCTCGATATGACCCAACAACTTTCAAGGCAAACAAGACCCTTAACAATCGATCAATCATCGAAATATACAATTTTCCAAGTTACTCGACAACTTTCGGACTCCAACGGGGCCCTTAACAAAAATCGAGCGTACTCAAAGCTATACAAACATTACTTAATCAACAAAATCTCATCAATTACGTGTCAAAAACGAGGAAATTCGAGCACAAAATCGTCGAAACGCCATACAAAGACGAGTGTTGCTAGTTTAAAAATTAAAAATATATAATATTATACCTTTTTCGTTCTTCTATATGTCCGGTCTATTCTAATCGGTGACGTCACAGATTGGATCATCTCCGCTATGTGTGTATCGACGCGCGGTTTCTGCAATCTCTTCGCCGATCGAGTGCGAAACTTCGCCGATTCTTGATTCTGAACTAAATTCGGCGTTAATGACTTTATACATCTGTAAAAGAGATTTCTTAGGTTATATATATGATAACACTGATTACTGTTGATGAAGCGAGAGAGGTATGTAAGAATCGTAGCAATTGGCGTTCTGTCTCTGCCTACTTCCATGGGAGACAGGCGTGAAGTTATGTATGTTATTTTTATGATGTAAGAGTATTATTAGAGTAATAAAGAGTTAATTGGTTACGAGGTTTTTTATGGAATAGGAGGTAATCAAGCAGACGCATCACCTGATGGTATGCAATCAGCGCCGCCCATGGACACCCGGAACACTAGAGGAGTCACAGGTGCGTGGTCGACCTTTGAAAAAGGAATACGCTTTTTTCGGTTTGTAGGTCGTATCGGTTCGGAAATACCGCCGACGACAGATCATTCCACATGTTTACTGTGAGAGTCAGAAAGCTGCGCGAGAAGCGCACCGTTCTGGCCTGCCAACCATCTATATGAGAGGGATTTTTTAAGGGGGGAAAATCATGGAATGCATGCTCCCGCCTGAGTGAGGCGGGAAGGAGTGTCAGACTCTTACTGACTAAAAACCACCCCGTTCCTTCTCCTGCACGTCGAGCCGGAGCCCCGGTGACCCGTTAGGTTCTCCGCGACTCCGAATCATATGAGAGGGATGGACACATATCCATTCCTATCCATCCCTATACAAATCTAATTAGTCCGTCAGTTAGACATTGAAAAATATTAGACATATTTTTTTATTTTGTCGTATAAGGAAACAATACATAGATAAAACGGAGTTAAGTTTAGCAGTGGGAGGTCGTTACGTCACGCTCTACCCTATAAAATGGGGTAAATCGAAACGTCACACGATATTTCAAATCAATATATCGCACCTACGGTGCAATATCGTCACTTATGCAATTTTTGTCAAACCTTAACTGATGAAAGAATACTCCAAATTCACCTCTTTACTTGGTGCGTTATTGTAATTTGTGTAGTAAGCAAACTGACATTGTGAGGGCATTACTGTCGTTACGGGTTTGGCGCTAATCTGGGCGGCACTAGGAGAAACGTTTCATTGTTCAGTTGTGCGCGGGCCTCCGCAATACATAAGTGACGTTATAGCACCGGAGGTACGATATCGTCGCAATAGTATTTAATTTTGTAAGAAAAGAAAAAATACATGTCTAATGTTTTTTCATTATCTAACTGACGGGCTAATCACATTTTTAATTGTCATACCCTGTGTACAATCCTATTGTAAACAAAATACAAAGAACGAGTGGTCACCTAGCAGCCTCCTGCAGTTTCCTAGCGAGGAGTTCGTTCTTCATCTTGGCGGCGGCGAGCTCGCGACGCAGCTGCGTCTTGGTTTTGTTCCCGGCGGGGTGCAGCAGGGGGTGGCGCCGGAGCCGCGCCGCCGACGGACGGCTCGACGGGTCCGGGTCTACCATTTTCTGGGGGGACGAAGGAAGAAATTGTTAGTTGTATGATGCAAATTGATCATTGAATAGGACAGTTTCCTTGTTGATCTGCAGTCGCCAGGCTATAATCAGATGTGGTTTATGAGTGCACCAGGCCAATTCTCGCTTTAACCTTTTCACAATGTTACCATTGTAATTAATTCCACGCACTGGTCAAGGAATTAATTAAAATGGCAACATTGGTAACATTGTAATTCATTGATTGGGATGGTGGGCGAGACGCCCACGATGTTGTTTTTTATAGCAATCTATTTCAGACGGTACCAGTGGGAATGTTTAGGTACTCGTGAATTTCGTCCGAATTGAATTTTTAATTCTATATGGGCATATGGCATTCAGTTATGGGGAGTAGCCATCAAGTCTAATATAACATGCATACAAATGATCCAATACATTAACTTGAAAAACATTGCCAATGCTCTGTGGTTTACAAGAAAATATACTACTGCTCATGAATATGAGCCTCTAGCATGGCTTGAAACTAGTCGAGTTTCTCGTCAAATTATTACGTAAGTAAGTCGAAAACATAATAATTTATTTAGTATGTCTCACGAAAGACATTAGACACGTATTTTTTCTTCTCCCAAAGAATTAAATACTTCCGATGATATATTAATTAATTTGAAATGTCGTGTGACGTCACAATTTATATATTTTATAGGGAGTAGAAACGTAGTTAGCCCCCACTCCTAAACTTTGATTCGTTTTACCTAACTATTGTTTTCTTACATGGCAAAAAATACGTGTCTAATACATATTTTCATTATCTAATTGACGGACTAAAGTGCATTTTCGAATTAAATTGAATTTATTGTTTGTCATAGATGTAAGTTTAGCTCTTTGAATTAATTTTCATATCCCGTCAACTAGCCTATTTGTAAAAATAGTAGAATATAATCGTAATAAAACTTACTCTCAATAATTGGTTAAACTCCCTAGACAGTTTGGGCAGCTCTGGGAGCTTGCCATCTCTATAGTCGTGCCACTGCTGACCATTCTTAGGCAGGGGACCGCCACCGCCCGCCTCGAACAGGGTTAAACCTGGAATTAAAGAAATATGGTTAGGAAATACTGTGTGATGAAGGTTATGTAGAACACATTGTGTCAGCTACTCTTCACGTGGGTGTCATATACCCGACTAAGATTTTTCACATTTTTCAACATTCCCTGTTAAACTTACATAAAAATTTGAGCTTTTAATGGAAGCATTTCAAACTTATAATTAGGAATTATAAGCCCAGGTTTCCTCACAATGTTTTCCTTCACCGTTTGTCAGTGGTGTCTAAATAATCTTAGAAAGTACATATAACTCGGAAAAAATCACATTGATACTTGTTAGTTGTTATGATTAAAAAACTAAATGTGGGAGAGCCATGCTTCGGCACTGCTGAACCGGTTCGACTGCAGTGATACCACCAACGAGCAGAAAACCATAATGAATTTCATTATTATTTCATATTTCAATGAAAAAACACTTATATTATGTTTGAATCCCCGAATCCTCAATAATCCTCCAAACTCTAAATTCCATAACTAAAAAATATTCTCTCATCAAAATTATTACTGAGCTTACCGAAAGCGAATATATCAGCCTTGGTGAGTTGCGTAAGGTCCTCTTGTAAGACCTCCTTGGGCAGGTAGCGACAGTCGCCCTCCTCTACTGACGGGGACGACACGCACGTTACGTGGCCTAGGTCACCTGGACGAAATAACAAATAAATATTAAAAAAATTGACATAAATGTAGTTTTTTTTTTCAGAGAAAAGCCTTAGAAGTAAGGTAAACCTTATGGTAAGCAATCGGCGTCGCCCATAGACACCCACAATATTATTTTTCGTGTTTCAGGGATAAAAGGTGCTGAGCGACCTTGAGCGTCTTTATAAGGCCCACAGTGAGAGACCATGTCTGAGTTCCATAGTTTATCACTGGGAACACACTAATTATAGACTATCATCTTGAAGCACTGAGGTATGTTGCAAGAGAAGATGTTGCGCAGATAGATCTTATACTATTATATAAAGCGGAAGAGTTTGTTTTTTTGTTTGAACGCGCTAATCTCCGTAACTACAAGTCTGATTTGAATCATTATTTTTGTGTTGGATAGCGCATTTATCGAGGGTGGCTATAGGCCATAAAACATCATGCTACGACCAATAGGAGCTGAGCAGAGCGTGTGAAACCGCGCGGAAGTAGCTAGTGTATAGATAATATGAATAGTAAAACTCACCAATCTTATATTTATGATGCGACTGCGGCTCGTCATCGTCGTAGCCGTCGTCGGAGTCGTGCGCGGGCTCGCCCTCCCCGCTGCAGATGAAGATGTTGCCCGGCTTCACGTCCATGTGGACCAGTTGCAGGGAGTGGATGTAACTGTAGAAAAAAAAATGATAATAAACTATTCCTTACTAATATTATAAATCGGAAATTGAGTTTGTTTGTTTGTTCCGCTTTCACGCCGTAACTACTAAACCGATTGCTTTGAATTTTTGCAGATGTACAGTTAGAAGTCTGGATTAAATAATAGGGTACTTCTTATCCTGTAAAAATTTGATATTCTCGAGGGAAAACGAAATTATTGGTATAGATGGCGCTGTGTGTATTGGTATATGTCATATAAGCTACTTTTATCCTTTTGTGACGCGAGCGAAGTCGCGGGTAAAAGCTAGTAATAAATAAAAAAGCTGTTTATTTCTCGTGAAATACAGTTTTATACATATTATGTGTTTAGTTTACAGTACGTATATAGCTATTTTGGCCATGTTTTAATACCGCCGGGTATAATATGCCTCACAAACTACATAACTAATGTAAAATGTGCACATTTAGCATTTTGAACACTGCTGTCTAACCCTTCGGGGATTAAAAAGGCGTTATACACAAGACTGCACGGTTATGCTACTGCGCAATTTGTCGTGAGCTCGATTCTGTCATAGAACCATTCTTAGTATGATTTTAAAATTATTATTTTCTCTGTTTTTATAATAACTATCGTGAGACATACTAAATTGGGTACTTTTCTTAATGAAAAATAAATTATTTCGACTGTTCAATACAATAAAATATTAAAAAATAATCACACTTTCATTAATTGATTTTATGAACAACTTAACTTTAGTATATTACCAGCTATTTTTTAAGTAATAAGTACGCTGTTTGACGCTAAAAAAACGTGACGTCACAATACACAATCTCGTACAAAATTCATAGAAAACTGTCGTTTTTGACAGTTCGAAAAAAAGTATTGAATTTGTCTAGTTGGCGAGTACACAATTAAGCAGCGTGCGCGGTCGCGGCAATGTCAGTGTCAGCGCGACGTCGCCGCGACCGCGCACGTGGCTCATGAGGAAGAGCCCCTGTGTAGCTCGAAACTCGTAGAGCTTTCCTCAATATATTCCCGCGATTTTTAGTTAATTATTGTTTGTTTGTCTGTGTGTGAATACTCACGCCAATCCATCAGCGATATGAGCTAGCAGTAAAAGCAGTTCAGCTTCAGCCAAGGGTCCGGACTCCATCTTCTGCTGCAGCGAGCCACCGTCACAGTACTCGTTCTGGATTATCATGTGGTCGTCTTCCGCCCATGCTGAGTAATATCTGGGGGTCAAGAGTTAATGTTGTTCATTGTTTACTCATTTCTCATGGTATTTTCTTAGCGTCACAAAGTTTGATTATTGTTTTCATACATACATACATAACATCACGTTTTTTTATTTTTTTTTTAAGGGGGGTAGTCATCATATGTGTGCTCCCGCCTGGGTGAGGCGAGAGGGAGTCTCTTACTGACTAAAAACCACCCCGTTCCTACTCCTGCACGTCGAGCCGGAGCCTCGATAACCCGTTAGGTTCTCCGCGGCTGGTGGTTAGGCTCGTACACAAATCTACGATGCGATGCGAATTTACAACGCAGAAAATTACGACCATTCCTTCGACGACCGTCAACCGTACTAAACGTATTTCAATATGGATCGTAAAAATAAGTGTGCATTTCTGCTTAGGAGATACAAGAAAAAAAAGAAGATTTTGGGAAGATAAGATGAATCAATTCGCAAGTTCTTGCGATGCGTAGAGGGAGCTCACATATTTTTATTTTTTTTTATGGCATAATCCGGTAAACGAACAGACGGATCACCTGATGGTAAGCAATCGGCGTCGCCCATGGACACCTGGAACGCCAGAGGCGTTACAATTGCGTTACCGGCCTTTTTAGGAGTTTGAGGGTTGTTGGGGATTCAGGGATTGGGGAGATTGGAGAAGGGGAGGGTAATTGGGCCTCCGGTAACCTCACTCACACGACGAAACACATGCAAGCATTGCTTCACGTCGGTTTTCTACTCGGTCGTGGTATCACTCCGGTCGAGCCGGCCCATTCGTGCCGAAGCATGGCTCTCCCACACTTAAAACCGTTTTGTGTACGAGGTCTTAAACCTCCGTGGCACCACGACATTTTTACCCTACAATAGTATTGAATGCTTATGTACCTGACGACATGAGGATGCTTCCCCAGCGCGGCGTGGGCGTAGACCTCTGTGAGCGCGGCCCGCTCGGCGGCCGAGCCGGCGACGGGCCGCAGCGACCGCTTCAAGGCGTACACGCAACCATCGAGCTTGTTCACACACTTCGTCACGCGCCCAAACTGCCCTCGCCCGATCACGCCCAGCTCTAGGAACTCCACGTTGTAGCGGGATATGTTTGATTCCTGGATGTGGGAAAAAATTTTGTTTAGTCTTGTCTTGTTGTATTTTTTTTTTAATTTTCAGTTAGTATTTATTTATTTTACATAAGTACAGGTACAGACGACAGATTGAAATCGTACACAACAATCGTAATTATAAATAATGAGTGAACTTGAACTCTTCGCTTCGCTTTTTTGTACTAAGTTATGTTCAATTTATGAAAACTAGGAATTACTGAAAAGCGACCATACAAGTAATAAAAAAAGGGAACAATTGATTGAGTGAACAACAAATCTGAAGCAATAGCGCTAGTCATTTGCATTTCAGCGCTAGTAGCTAGTCATTTGACAGCACGGTTGGCACGGTGACTGGGTAACAGGCTGCTGCGCAATGTGTCGCGGGTTCGATTCCCGCACGGAACAACTCTTTGTGTGAACCACAGATTGTTTTTCCGGGTCTGGGTGTCACGTGTATGTGAACTTGTATATTTGTAAACGCACCCACGATACAGGAGAAAATCCTAGTGTGAGGCAAAGTTTTTTTTTTAAAAAAAAACAACACTCAGGTTATATACTCTTCAAGAAATTCAAACTCTAGCAAATAATTGCACTCCTTAGCATATATGTATTGAGAATTATGCAAATGAAATTGGTTCAAAATTTAGATGCATATCCAACATAAATGATCGAAAAATACTGCGGAATTTCAAACATTTCCTGTCATTCAGAGTAAATAATATATTTTTTTATTAAAATGGTAGGTACTCTAGTTATATTAGTTAGGTCCAGGGGCTAAACGTATTTCGGGATGGATTTCTGTACGAAACATAACAATTAGTTTTACATACCCTGAGTCTCTTCGCCGGCTGTTCAGGAGTAGCGTCGCCCCAAGTCGGTGTTTTTGACAACGCTCGCTTCTTCTTATTTAGAGCTTGGCCTGGAAATAAAATAAATTATATCAAGCTTCACAAATGCAATAGATTATGCTAATAACACAGCTCGTGACTAAGGCTCCCGATGTACCTCGAAACTTGTCGAGTATGTCCTTAATAGATGACAAGAATAATGCAATATTATATTATAAAGCTGCCTTGTTGGTCGAATGGTCGCGAGCGCGACTGCCGGGCAAGGCGTCTCGGGTTCGATTCCCAGTTCGGGCAAAGTAATATTGTTTTTTTTTTAAAAAAGCTCTCAGTAGTAGCACGGAGTCTGGAATTGCATCCAGTATATGACAATAGGCTCACCCCCTATTACATGGAACTCATAACAAAAATAGTGAAAAGTGGGTGTTACATTGTACAGTGGCATTAAATGCCGTAATGTGCACCTCTGCCTTCGGGGATAAAAAGGCGTGATGTTATATTATGCTATAATTAATCATTTTAAAATCAGTCTTACCATCAGGTGTGAACGGATTGATATTGGCGACGGCTCGCCTGTTCATCCTGGACTCATCCAGCTCGTCTGGCGGCAGACTGCCGAGCGCGCTGTCGTCGTCGCCTGACGGTGGGTGGAGGTGGTGACTGGAGCCCGACGGCATGCCTGGTGGAGAAAGAGGAGAATTAGAAGATGGTAGTATGAAATAATTAAAGTGTCGAGTAGGTTTAAAAGAGCAATTTTTTTTTAATTATCGCCCGAATATAACTGTGGGAGAGCCATGCTTCGGCACGAATGGGCCGGCTCGACCAGAGTGATACCACGGCCTCACAGAAAACCGACGTTAAGCAACGCTTGCGTTGTATTTCGTCGTGTGAGTAAGGTTACCGGAGGCCCAATCACCCTCCCCTTCCCCAATCTTCCCAATTCCTGAATCCCCAACGATCCTCAAACTCCTAATCCCCAAAAGGCCGATAACGCACTTGTAACGCCTCTGGTGTTCCAAGTGTCGCAGGGCGACGCCGATTGCTTACCATCAGGTGATTCGTCTGCCCGTTTACCGGCTTATGCCATAAAAAAAGAATATGCTGAATCGCTACTCAATGTTTGAGTTGTGCTTAAATATCGTGTAATCTGTAATTTTACATAGAATTAACATTGACGGCACGGTTGGAGCGGTGGCTGGACAAACGGCTGCCGCGCAACGTGTCGCGGTTTCGATACCTGCACGGAACAACTCTTTGTGTGATCTACAACTAGTAGAGCTTTCCTCAGTATATTCACGTGAGTAACTAGTTTTATACTTTTTCATACTTTTTTAAAAGAGTAACGAATGGAGTTTCTTGCTCGTTCTTCTCCATTCGAATCTACGTTTTGGAATGAGCACCTAGCTTCACCTAGCTTCACTGACGAACTGACTGACAGACTATTATTTATTTTGTATTTGTTGACGTTTCAAAAGTACCAAACTATGGTTTAATTGAAATAAATGCTTTGACTTTGACTTTGACTTTAGTTTTAGTTAATTTAGTATGTCTCACGATAGTTATTATAAAAACAGTAACAGTTTCAAAAAAAACAAAGACTAAAAATACACAATAACAATTCGCTTACCCGACTGCGCGTTTAATTTGGGCGGGAATAGCCTGGAGCGCGGCGGATGGTGTGATGGAGTCGAGCATTTCTCTAGCAGGGTCTTCGGCGTGTGTGGACTGTCGAATAACCTGGAAATAATAGGGAATCTCATCTTATACTCTTATACTATTACATAAGTCGCGGAGAACCTAACGGGTAACCAGGGCTCTGGCTCGACGTGCAGGAGGAGGAACGGGGTGGTTTTTAGTCAGTAAGAGTCTGACACTCCCGCCTCACCCTAGGCGGGAGAAGTCATTAGATGATTTTCACCCCTTAAAAAAAAAATACTATTACATAAAGTGGAAGAGTTTGTTTTTTGTTTGTTTGTTTGAACGCGCTAATCTCCGTAACTACAAGTCTGATTTGAATAATTATTTTTGTGTTGGATAGCGCATTTATCGAGGATGGCTCTAGGCTATAAAACATCACGCTACGACCAATAGGAGCTGAGCAGAGCGCAGCGCGCGGACCAGGACTCCGGCTCGAAGTGCAGGAGTAGGAACGGGGTCGTTTTTAGTCAGTAAGAGTCTGACAATAGGTGGGAGAAGTCATTCGATGACATTCCCCCATAAAAAAAACCTCGGAACTCGCAAATCTTTCGAACCAACAGCCCACATTTAAGCCAAAATCAAAAACAGCTGTTCCCCAAATCTACAATCAAAATATCCTATTCATAATAGGTACACAATAAAAAAATACTTTACAATCTTGGAGCACACCTTTAAAAGGTCGCCCCTATTTTTTTTAAACCTTATTCCTTAAGTGAATTCAGGTGTTCAATGATTTCTATGGATACGCAAGTGTTGAATATTTTTGTAATAATCTTACAAGACGGGATTTTTTATCCATACCTGCGTGTATTATTATTATTTTCGAAGATAGGTGTTATTATTGTGGGTTAAAGGTGCTTATTGTTTGATTCTGTGTAGGGCGGGAAAACCGGATATTTGCTATGATGCAAGATTTTAACATTTTTAACTAACTACAGTATAATAAATAGGGTAGATGCCTAATTATTATTTTAATGTTCGTCTGGTAGATTAATTTAAATCATTAGACACGTATTTTTATTTTCTTACAGAAACTAATACTTTCGACGATATATTGATTTGAAATTTCGCGTGACGTCACTTCTATGTACATTTTATACGTAGAAATGACGTTTTAGCCCCCACTACTAAACTTTGATTCGTTTTATCTAAGTATTGTTTTATTATACGACAAAATAAAAAAATACGTGTCTAATATTTTTTAATTACCTAACTTACGGACTAATTAGATTATTAATTTTCATACCCTGTCATCATCCCAATTATGGAGTATTATAGGTACATAATTTTCGGCTTTTTTTTAAGGGGGGAAAATCATCGAATGACTGCTCCCGCCTGGGTGAGGCGGAAGGGAGTGTCAGACTCTTACTGACTAAAAACCACCCCGTTCCTTCTCCTGCACGTCGAGTCGGAGCCCCGGTTACCCGTTAGGTTCTCCGCGACCATAATTTTCGGCTTACGATCACGTAACTGTTCGACGAAATCCTCGAGTTCCTCGTCAATACATAGGTATACATAATAAACATAATAATTAATATTAAAATTAACTATTACTAAATTAATAATAAAATACATACAACTTAAAATTATATAAAAGAAAAACAAAAACAACTATTTACATAAAGCATCGAAAAATTCGTCCGCATCGACGTCAGTGGGGAAAGTACCCAGAAGGCTGGCAGCATTGCCACGTTGTATGGCAATGCTTAACCTCTAACCGAGAAAAAGACCAGTCCTCTGGTCACGAGATGTGTCAACCAGGCGTTTTGAAATGTAAATAATTAATTTACTATGTTTCACGAAAGTTTTATTATAAGTTCAATGCGCGTTGGATTTGATAAAATCGCAAATTCGTTCGGGCTAAATCGTAAATAAATAATTCAGCATTTTTTTTAATGTTCTGTGTTTTTGTGAATGGTGTAGGCAGGTGTGCATTTATTACTACAAATATGTATTACAATGTAACATTTTACCATGTAATATTGATCCTATTGTTACAAAAGATCTGGCGTATCACCAAACACCGGTTTCAAATAACAAACTTCCGAGAATCGTGTAATTTCCAACTAGTCAAATTCAATACTTATCTCGAACTGTTAAAAACGACAGTTTTCTATGAATTTTGTACGAGATTGTGTATTGTGACGTCACGTTTTTTTAGCGTCAAACAGCGTACTAATTTCTAAAAAAAATCGCTGGAAAAATACTAAAATGAAGTTGGTCATAAAATCAATTAATGAAAGTGTGACTATTTTTGAATATTTTATTGTATTGAACAAAGTCAAAATCATTTATTTCAAATAGGTCTGGCCTATTTCATGGCACTTTTGAACGTCGACAAAAAAAATTAAAAGCGAAGCTATTTGCTCATTCCAAGGTGTAGATTCCTATGGAGAAGAACGAGCAAGAAACTCCATAGGTTACTCTTTTTCAATCGGGTTCACAATACAATTTTTATTCGAAATAAGTAACACATTTTTATTAAGGAAAGTATCCAATTATGATGATATAATAATTCCACTCGACCTGAGGATCAATCATCAAACCCACCCATCTACTAAACGGCAAAAATACGTTAACCTCGCAAAAAAACCTTTTTTCTCCAAAAAACCAGTATGAAACAAAAACATACTGTCATTGGAAATTCATTAAAAAACCAACTTTGAAACCATCACTTTTGAACTCACTTTCGCATAACGATTCACAAGCAGAACTACTTTCCGGGTTAAAATCCACCGTATATTAACCTGAATAACGTATAAAATGCCTTGTATGTGAACAAAATATACGTAAAACCACCTTCCTGGCCAAAACACACCGTATGTTACGACAAATAAGGTGCAAAATGCCTTGTTTGATACTTAAAGGTGTGGGTGTTTTTTTTTTTTGCTCATGGCAGATGTCAGCTGTTTGTGATCATATGTTTTCTTATATAACTGTAGTTTAACTGATTTCAAACGAAATTCCTTTATGTGACTCACGTAGGCAGATCTTTTGTTAAATTTTTTTTTTTGTCAAAACCTGAGTATGGTAGGTAGATCCATTTTTGGTAAGAGTTCAAAGTAGTTAACTAGTCTGCAAGTTTTTTGTTAAGTATCTGAATTTATTGTCATACTAGCTGTTGCCCGCGACTCCGTTCGTGTAGAATATGATTTTTAGGATATAACTTTTATTTTAGTTTCAATTTTCCAAAATAAAAATGGTCTATGTTACTTCTTAGAACATCAGCTAACTGCCAATAAAAGTCCCGTCAAAATCGGTCCAGCCATTCCAGAGATTATCCAGTAAAAACAGACAGACAAAAATTGTAAAGAAACATATTTTGCTATGTGTATCGTTGTTGTTGTTATAGTTCAGGTTTATCAGATAACGGTGCTAATCTGCTCTGGTATACGACACCCACGAAAAGAATGGCGGTGGTGTTGCACGTATTTTACTCTGACATCACAACACGAGCTTCGGCGACAAGAAACCTCACTTAGGGTATACCTGGGTCCATTAAAATCCAATAGATAATTAAACTGTCAAACACCAAGCGGTCACCGGTGACCGCAACCTATTGTTCTATAATTGTGTCTACAAAACCGGTACTCGACGAGTTAATTATGTTTACAGCACTAGACGTGCTGTCTTATGCCTTATAATTTACTCAAAAGACAAAATCATTTTTCTAATAGACCAGAAAGGCATTTTTGAATGTCAACAAAAACATTTAGTTATTCTATATGCTCATTCCAAGGTGTAGATTCCTATGGATAAGAACGAGCAAGAAACTCCATAGGTTACTTTGTCAATCAGGTTCACAATACAATTCTTTTGTTCCATAATTTTGTTGTTTCGATTGTGTGAGAAGAATATAACACCAAAATCCAGTCAGAGACAGAGGCCAACAGCTAGATAGAGGTCAGCTCTAAAGGCGCTAGTTACGTACAAAACGCCCATATAAGGACATCGCCTAACCTATTGCCATACACCGTACAAAACAAGGCTTGCGCAGTTGTCGTGACAGACAAACGTAAATATATTCACATTTAAATGTCAATATGTTAAAGAGTTATCTGGCATCTTTTAAATAGAAATATCACGGTGTTTTGAAACTAGGTATAGGCTGTGGTTTCCCTCGAGTTTACACAAAATATCTAGTGAGTAGGGAAGCGAACGATACATACAGATCACCTGATGGTAAACAATCAGCGTCGCTCATTGACACTCTTAACGCTAGAGGAGCTACAAAGAGCCATCAGACCATAACAGATGGAGCCCAATAGGGCTGATGCCGATACGGAGCCGCAGAGAACTTAACGGATTACTGGGACTCCGGCTCGAAGTGTAGGAGTAGGAACGGGGTGGTTTTTAGTCAGTAAAAGTCTGACACTCCCTCCCGCCTCACTGGGGCGGAAGAGGTCATGCGGTGTTTTTCCCTTCTTAAAAAAACAAAGGAGCTACAAAAGTGCATTGCTGTTTTTTGGGAAAGTGGTCAAGATCGAGACTGCATAACTAGAGTTCCATTCTTTAATTGGGCAAAACATAAGAAGTCAGCATTGAAACTATATTCGAATCGAGCCGCGGAAGGCCGTAAGGGGTTTCGGCTCGAAGAGCAGGAGTAGGAACAAGGTGGTTTTTGTACGTTATTTCAGGTAATTGTACTCTATACTTTATAAGAATAATAAAGTACACAAAAATACTTTATTTTTGCAAACTTCATTTCTATTAAAGTCGTAAGTATTTTTCTGTAAACTTATCGATTCCGTATCGATATTTATCGAATTATGTTGAATCGATTTCGCCACTCGCCAGCGCCACTTAGACAATTTCTAGTAAAAATGCAATTGTTTAGTAAAGATACTAATTTAATACAAACTGCAAAAAGCAATAAAAATATATTTTTAAATATATATATAAAAATAAATTGTACTTTATTTTTGTACTTTTTTTTTCTTACCTATAATCGTCAATGTACTTTAAATACCAAAATAAAAGGTGGCAACCCTAGTTTTTAATCAGTGAGAGTCTAACACTCTCTCGCCTCACCCCTATCTATTTCAACTCAACATCATCAAACTCCACACATCAGGTTAGAAAATACAAGTTGCCGATGACAAAAAAACAAACATTAATATTACACAAATTTATATTAGGATATGAATTTTAGCATTTTGCTACGACGCAAAATAACAGTATAATGCATGGAAACAGGTTTATCTAGTTTCTGAATGAGGTCAAACTATGAATGTTGGAACAACTGCCTCGTTAGTCGAGAGCAAGAGGTCTTAAGTTCGATTCCCGGGCCAGATAACATCATAACCATCTATGTGAGAGTTGACTGCTGGACTATGATCCAATGAACTTCGTTGGCAAAAGAGGGAAACACTTGGCAAGGAGATTGGAGATCGTAGTTTAAAAGGATCAGGTTTATCACAGAGCGTTGCTAGTTACCCAGCTCTAATAATTATGTAGTCACTTATTCGGGTATACGACACCCGCAAGAAGAGTAGGGGTGGTGACAAATGTATTCTACTATATCAACGACAAAAGTACTAATTTATTTTTTCTATTTATCAATAGTAGCACTGACATGGGATAAGCCGGTAAACGAGCAGACGGATCACCTGATGGTAAGCAATCGGGTAACTGAGCTTCCGGTAACCTCACTCACACGACGAAACAGAATGCAAGCATTGTTTCACATCGGTCTACTGCTCGGCCGTGGTACCACTCTGGTCGAGCCAGCCCATTTGTGCGAAGCATGGCTCTCCCACACTCAAACTTTGTCTTTGTAATTGTGCCTGGTATATGACAATAGACTCACCCCCTATTACATGGGATTAGTGAAAAGTAGGTGTTACATTGTGTATGTACACCTCTGGCTATCTTCAGGGATGGAAGAATGGTGATAATAAAAAAATGATGTATAAAAACCAGTATAACAAGTTTCAAATGAGGTCAAACTATGAATGTCAAAAGGGTTCCGTTTAAATTGGACAAGTTTTAACATGTTAGACATATTGAATGGTGAGGATGTTTCTAGCTAGAACATATGCATCCCAGATTTTGGTACTTATTTGAGTATTGGGGGGTAAGTAGAAGCGTTTTGTGTTGTGATTTTATTGTAGTTACCTATGTTAACTATTCATTTCTTAGTTTAAAATGATAAATAATATAACATCAAGCTTCTTATTCCAGAAAGGATTGATAAAGGTGTATGAGTAAAACTAAAACTACTATTGTAATATAACAGAAAGACAACCAAACATCATCTCGCACTATAATATTAATAAGGATAAAAAGAAACAGGAAATAAATAATAAAATATGGTCAATTGATTGAATGGTCTTTCATAAATACCTATTGTCAATTCCTAAGAAAGAGAGGGGGATACTTATATAATAGAGGGAGGGAGACCGAAAAAAATGGGACTTGTCGAAACTTGCCCCTATATAATCAGGTCTGGAATCTGGAATCTATGTAACTGAAATTTGGGTAACAAGTTTAAACCTGTTGAAACATGTTTATTATGGTATTCATATACCATCATGCTATTTACTGATGAGTCATAGAGTTTATGAGAGATGGTAATGCTTTGAATATATATATTTAGAAAAATGTATAACACTAGCTTTTACCCGCGGCTTCGCTCGCGTCACAAAAGGATAAAAAGTAGCCTATGTGACATATACCAATACACACAGCACCATCTATACCAATACTTTTGTTTTCCCTCAGGAATATCAAACGGGATAAAAAGTACCCTATTATTTAATCCACACTTCTAACTATACGTCTGCAAAAATTCTAAGCAATCGGTTTAGTAGTTACGGCGTGAAAGCTCAACAAATAAACAAACAAACTCACTTTCCAATTTATAATATAAGTAAGGATTATTTACTAGGCTTTTATGTTTTGATATCCCCTTATCTTGCTAATAATATACTTAAATATTAAATTTTGTGTTTGTGTATATTTGTTACCTACTCAAGGAGGCCATACACGCTAGGTTTTGCGTGATGGTTCTAGCCGTGCATGCATAATCAACAGGCAAGCCCTAGCGTGTATATGATTAAACTGTCCAGTTATCGGTGCATTGGTGCTCGGTTATGCTTGTCGGTTTAGCATGCACAGTTATAACCATCATACATAACCTAGCGTGTATGGCCTCCTTCAGTCACATCAAAATGGCTGAAGGGATCGGGATTAAATTTAGAACAGGGGTTGAATGCGCTCTAAAATAACACAGGCAACTTTTGAGTCCAATAACATAGGCAAAATCAGTACATTTCTATGCAATTGAATGTAGAAATTTAGAAAACGATTTATAAATGTTTATGAATATGAATGATATTAAGCATAGAAAGATTAATAATCTGAATTTACACATAGGCGACTTTTTACCCCTATAATGTAGGTAAAGTCAGTACATTTCTATGTATTTTAATATGAGAAAGTATGACAACAAAAGTATGCCAAATCAATTTTTTTTAGTGTGGAAATCATGGAATGACTTCTACCGCCTGGGTGAGGCTGGAGGGAGTGTCAAAATCTTACTGACTAAAAACCACCCCGTTCCTACTCCTGCGCTTCGAGCCGGAGCCCGGGTAACCCGTTAGGTTCTCCGCTACATGTCAAGTCCATTTGGGGTCGAATTTTTCCAACACCAGATAGATTATATCATAGGAATAACTTTGAATATTTGACAATTCTTCCATACTTACTAAAAACTGTACATTGGATTGAAAAATCAGCCTAAAATATAATAATGTTACCTACATTTATTAGATGAAAATTACATCAAAATCTATCTAGCAATTTATGAGTATTGAACATAAAAACTGAATTTACTTTCACATTTAATATGAGTCAAAGTTCAAGGACTTTTTCTTAAAATACCAATATTAACATATTTAATCTTACTACTGTTATAATAATTATTTTTAAGCAGAAAAGAATACATCATATTATACTTAGTTTTAACATAACATTTAACCTTTTATCCCCGAAGGGATAGGCAGAGGTGCACTTTATGCCACTGTACTGTACAATGTAACACCCACTTTTCACTATTTATGTTATGGGTCCCATGTAATAGGGGTGAGCCTATTGTTTATAATTATAATAGTTTTGTTTTATATTTGTATTATACTTAGTTTTGTATGCACAAAATCACCATCAATATCATCATAATCAGCCTAGAACTGTTGGGCAACGACTTCTTCTCACAAGGAGAAAGTTTGAGCATTAATCACCACGCTTGTTCATGTTGGATTGGTGATTTCAAGCTTGATAATTTGAGATATGATTGTTTAAAGTATTCTTATACATAATGACTATTATACAATAGCTATAGAGATAGATTAAGGGACTGTTTTACAGCATCTATTATAATATAGTTGTTATTAACTTAGGTACCTAATATATAACATAATTTCCTATCGAAATAATAGTATGTCAAATTATCTGTAAGTCACTACTAAAAGAAATTCAATTTGTCATTGTGAGGTCTTAAACTGTCAAACACCAAGCGGTCACCGGTGACCGCAACCTATTGTTCTATAATTGTGTCTGCAAAACCGGTACTCGACGAGTTAAATCAGTTAAGATATGACCTTTTGTTTGATCACTTTACTCTAAAATGATGTCATTTTTAAACCTTTTAATTTGTAATAGTATGCCATGCCAGTATTTAAACAAGTTAGTTACATCTTTCTGCTATATTTACTCAAGTAATCTTCTTGTAATTTTGCATATGTATGGTCAGTAGTTATTGTAGGTCAAGCAGAGAAAGACATTGGCTACAATCATGCAGACAAAGCTGCTGATAAAAGCAATTCTTTCATCTTATAATTATATGATATGACAGTGAAATGAGATCTTATTTAGAAATCAACCATTTTAGACACAAATAAACAAGTTTTAGTATGAGTTCAATGGTTGTTAGAGTTCAAAATTCATTTCAAGTTAGAAATGACCAAAAACAACGTTTTATTTAACGATCTAGATGCGAACTAACAGACTTTGACATATAAAAGAGTAATATGTCCAGTTAAAAAGTGGTAATCTTCAATTAAATGTTAATTACCAGAACAAATAAGTTTGAAAGTGCAATTTCCAACAAAAATAAAGCTGATTATACAACAAACACAAGAATTTTAACTTGGCTGCAACCCAAAACGAAAAAATTAAGAGCGATGTGTATAATTTACTAATTACCATGACATTGAAATTGTAAAAGATTCTAAAGTGAAAGTTACGATGGTAATTATATCATACTAGTGACCTACAAGACGCTACCGTGCTCATAAGAGCCAGGGAACCACGTAGCGTGGTGATTTTCGATAGAAATTGCATGCTTAGACCTGAGTACGTACCTTAGAGCCCTAACTCGTTTATACGGAGGACTATGTGTAACCGGAGGAGGTACAGCATCCCTCATGCCGTCATCGTCATCCATGCTGCTAAAATCCAACTTCCTAGGCACTATTGAAGAAGGAATCGGACTTAAATTATCCGAAAATATATTGAAGGAGTCTGACATTTCACATGAAGTTTCTGTCGACAATTCCGATGAATCGTGCTTGTTAATGAAGCCCGTCTTCATTCTATACCACTCAGTCATCTTCGTTAACACATTAAACACTTTTACAACAAAAATATCACAATAAAATCACTTTTTTATTTAACAATTTCACAAAACGATCTCACTTTCACGCACTAACAACGTTATGGCGGATGACGCATAGCACCTGTTCAATTGTTCGACCAATAAGAACGCGTTATTCGACCGGTGAGTTGAATACTCAAATTCTATTGGTTGACAGTATTTTTTTTAAATAACGAAGCTGCCTCGTTCAATGTTATTGGTCCTAATAAGGAAGCGTTCGTACAAGAATAAGAGAAAAGACGCGTTCATAGAATGCCTTTTAAATAAAAGTAAAATCGATTAAATGTAAATAGTTGTTTTTGTTTTTTCTATAATTAATTTTAATCTTTAGTTGTATATATTTAATTTAGTAATATTTAATTTTATTTAAGTAAAAGTTAGTATTAATTTAAGTTTTTTATTTGAATAAATGTTAATTTAAACATGTTTAAATGTTCAACTCGATTGACCTAAAACGAAATGTATTTTAGCCGGAGCCGCGCCGAGTGTCCAGCAGCGAATATAGATACGTTAGAATTTATCGGAGGGCTTCTTTTAAAAGCTAAAGTAATACGAAAATATTTTGCATAATATCAGCTTTCATTCATTCTGTCATGTTGATATAGGTACCTATTATGATTTTGAGTTGCAGATTCAGTACTCAAATCAGACTAAATAAACTTGTTTTGGCTTTGTTGGCTTTGAGTTTTTGCGTGGATGTTTGTTACTCAATGACATTCAAACGGCTGAAGGGATCGGGTTAAAATTTGGAACAGGTTTAGATTATGGTCTGGATTTCTGGAATAACATTTAAGCTGCTTTTTATCCCACGGAAACACAGGTGAAGCTGCTGGCAGAAGCTATACATGCATATAAACACGAAAACCTTTGACTCGCCTATTTTCAAACCAGGACAGGAGTCCATATTTATGAGCAGTACCGATACATATACACATACCTACGACATGATGAACTTCACTTCACTACCTATTACCTAAATACTTACCTACCTACGTATTATCTAGCTGTCTAACAAAAACCTAACGATATTACATTATGTTTGTTAAGTAATCATGTCAATAGCGATAAGTTTGGTATTTTTTAACTCTTGTTTGTGAAGTTTAAGTGTTTTAAAGGGTTTCGGATTATCATAATAATTGAAAGAATGAAAACATACACCGTGACATCTATTTCGTTTTCGTCCCGAAGTAAAATAGTTCTGTCTCGGTAATGCAATAGTTATAGAAACAAATGAAATGTTTAAAACAAAAAATAACTGGTGTACCATTGCAAAATGCAAACTTCGAAAGCGCATACGGACTCATAATACATTATCAAAACATCACGCCGTGTGATTCTCGAAGAGGTATTATTTTCTCGTCGGTTGGCACGTGCGATGTGAATAGTGCCTACAATACAAATTTGCGTCTAGTGTTTCATATGCATATTTCCATTAAATTTATTTAAAAAAAACTAAAAAAATGACATCTCTAATTTTTGTATTTAAGTTATACATCGAGAGTACTCCGGCAACGGCACAACGGCAAGTTGTTTTGCCGTGACACGAAAAGAAATAGATTTCAGTCACAGCGTATAAATTAATACCTACTTATATCAAACATTTGACCCGATTACGTGCATAAGCCTTAAGTCAAGACCAAACACAAACAAACCACAAGGTACGGACAACAGCATCCTTTAAACTTGAGACTCGAGTTAGGCGATCTAACCACAAAGATGAGTAAGACGCTTGTCAAACTCAAACGTGGTGATTAAACAGTGATTAGTTGAAAGTATGGTCACTTCTAGATGAGGCCTGTTTCAAAAGACAAGTTGTGTTTAAAAATAAACATACGAAAACCGATAATATGAGTTGTACCAAGGTCAAAAACTTTTATAAGTTTTGTTCGCTTCTTTCACCCTCCAAGAGGGAAGATTTTATCAAACGTGGCGTGAAAAAGAGGATATCTATCGATCGATCTTGATAATAAATCATGCACTGTTAAACAAGAATAATAAAATACTTAAAATATTTAACATCTAAATAAGCGCGTGTGGCTCATCTCTGAGCTGAAATATTCTAAGTACTTAAACAAGTCCTTAGCTGACTTCAAGCAAATACGGTTAGAAAAGCTATCAATATCATATGGATATAAATATCTACTTTTATGTCCATTAGCTACAAAGTTAACTTAGATTATACATACCTCTATGTTATATGTACCGCAATGCAGATGAACCATCGAAGTCGACTTTAGTTATTGGGTATTTCCCGATTTCAAATCGATATCCACTCGAGTAAGTTGACTAACGTTAGACGATTAATCACCTATTCGATTGAAATAGTTTTGTTGTGTGGTCATTGTCGCGTGCTTGTTTTATTTTATGTTTGGTATATTATTTTGGTACATTATATTCATAAAAGATCAAAAATTTGTCTGTCTCACTTAGTATTGCATAAATTTTCATAAAATGACATTAGAATTTATGTTATTCAGACGATTTTTATTAATTTAACTAAAAAAATCTGTATATTTGCATAAGTTTTCGACAGAAATACAAAATAACTTATCAATATATATATGTGTATTTATGTAGTTATATATATATTTAAAATAAATTATTATCAATATTAGATTTCAATTAAGATTTGAATCGAATATTAATTAGGGCTATTAGTCGATTCCACAAGTTACTAAAATAAATTATGCAAGTACTTCCTTATTACGTTTTGACGTTTTGATTTGACAAATTCACAAATAAATCAATCGTGTTTGTAAAAATAATCTCGTTTTGTTCGCTTGTTTGGCTCACAAATGGGGTATTCCCTGAAGAATTTAAAATTTAATCAAGATTAGTGCTTAGAAGACATTTGTCAATGACTCAATTTCACCATAAAACAGTTTAGTGCCGGCAAAACGAAACATGGCGATCTTAGGATGGATGAAATTCGTGTTTTTGATCAGTTTTCCTTATTTGTGTTTGCAAGAAACAATAAACAAAGGAGAAATAATATTCCACTATAATAATACGTAAGTTTTGAAGTTGACTTTTGGCTGTATGTGAGCATATCTTTGCCTGTTTCTTATACTTGTTCACTTTTATAACACAAAAGAAGTAATTAAAAAGTGCTGATGACTAAATTTTCATTTAGTACACTATCTCTATTTATATTCTATGTTCTGATGCGTTAAGATTTCCGATGATTAGAAGCGAACCCAATCAACTAAATAATATGATGATATCTCTGATAACAAAATTATTTTTGTAATCTATTAGTTCTCTCATTTCTTATTGAATGTTAATTTGATCTCTTTGTAATTACGTAAGTAATTAAAAACTATTGTGTACTGTTTATTAGGTATCTTAGATGATTTATTGTAGTATAATTGTCTATACAAACACAGTATTTTTACTATATTATTATATTAAATAAAATTGCGAGTTACTCACGTGAATATACTGAGAAAAGCTCTACTAGTTTTGAACCACAGAGGGGGGCTTCCTCATGAGCTCGCAGGGCTTGCAGCGCAAGTAGCAACACTGATGCGAGCGCCAATGCCAGCCAGTGAGCTTGAAATAATTTATTTTTGATTAAGTAAAGTACCCAGTTTATATTCTATGCCGATGAAGTCCCAGGCAACAGCTAGTTATTACTTAAAATAGTATTTCTTACCACCTGGATGTGTACATTATGCGTGCAATAAATACTTGAATTCCAACTAGTGTCTTACATATGCGTACAGTATTGAAATATGTATCAGAGACATTGTAGAACATACTTTTTTAAAAAAGAGTAACAAATGTAGTTTTTTGCTCGTTCTTCTCCATTCGAATCTACATTTTGGAATGAGCAACTAGCTTCACCTAATTTCACTGACGGACTGACCGACAGACTATTATTTATTTTGTATTTGTTGACGTTTCAAAAGTACCAAACTATGGTTTAATTGAAATAAATGCTTTGACTTTGACTTTGAAAAGTTGGTGTATGTGCACCTCTGTCTACCCTTTCGGTGATGAAAGATTAACTCGTCGAGTACCGGTTTTGTAGACACAATTATAGAACAATAGGTTGCGGTCACCGGTGACCGCTTGGTGTTTGACAGTTTAAGTAATGTGCTAAATTGCTACATATCATATTACAATTACTAATAACGGTTACTGATCTTGATCTCATTTTAGTTAACCTTCTTAACAGATTTCTCTTCTTAAACAACTTCTAATCTTGCAACATTGCCATTTAACTTGGCGATGCTGGCAGTCTTCTGGGAACATTCCCCTGTGATAGTGATAGAGACAAATACCTTGACTCCTAAATTAAGGGTATAATTTTTGTTGTTTTCTTTTTTTTCTTTCATTTTATTTAAGTTATTTTTATGTTCATAGTTATACTTAACTAGCTTTTACCCGCGGCTTCGCCCGCGTCACAAGAGGATAAAAAGCCAATGTGACATACACCAATACACACAGCGCCATCTATACCAATACTTTTGTTTTCTCTCGGGAATATCAAATTTTTCCGGGATAAAAAGTACCCTATTATTTAATCCGGACTTCTAACTATACATCTGCAAAAATTCAATGCAATCGGTTTAGTAGTTATGGCGTGAAAACGGAACAAACGAACTTTCCTCACTTTCCGATTTATATTAGTAATGATTTGAATTTGAATTTCATCTTAATACTTATAAAAGCTATTGTAATTTAAAAACCGCTTCCGCTAGGTGGCGCTGCACCTAAGTGTACGTAATTTTAAACGCTCCGTGAAAAAATATTTTTTAGATATACAAAAAGTGCGTTAAAGTAAATAAAAATGTGCGAATAGCTAAAACATTATCGGAATACTCAGTGACCGTGTTATACAGGAGTTTTGTGCATAAACTGAGAAGTTATAACATAAATATGAATAAAACTATAACTACATAAAACTGGAAAACTTGGAAGTGAAAAAAGGTGTAAAGTGGGACAATACTTGCTTAAGTGAATAATAAATAAATGACTAGACATATAATACAAAACAAAATAACTTTGGACTTGCATTAACTCATCTTAATTACAAAAAAAAAAAGACGGTGTTAGCGATTTTTTCCTTTAAATATACGAAGAATATG